TGTTTAATGCACACAGAGTATCTCAGTTTTGCAAGATGAAAACGTTCTGGAGATTGGTTGCACGACAGTGCATAATATACTTAACACTACTGAATTGCACATTTAAAAATGGTTAAGGTGGTAAATCTTATGTATTTTTTATGACAATTTTTTTAAAGTGAAAAAATTTACTCCTTATAAGTATACAGTTTAGTGATTCTCAGTAAATCTATAGAGTTGTACAACCTTCACCACACCCATTTTTAGAAGATTTCTGTCACTCCAAAAAATTCCCTCTGCCCCTTCGTGGTCAATCCCTGCTCCCTGCTCCCGTCCCCAGCCCCACCCAGGCAATCACTGATCTGCTTTCTATCTCTATAGATACACCTTTTCTGGAAAGTTCATACGAATGGAATCATATAATCGTTTGGTTCTTGCACCCTTCACGTATCAGTGTTCTTGGGACATGCATGATATATCAGTGATTCATTTCTTTTTATTGCTAAAAGGTATTCCATTGTATGGATAAACCACCTTTTGTTTATCTGTTTGCTAGTTACTGGACATTGGATTATTTCTAGTGTTTGGCTGCTACGAACAGTGTTGCTATGAACATTTGTGCACAGGTGCTTGTGTGGATATATGTTCTCTGTTCCCTCGGGGAGAGGCCTAGGGGTGTAATTGCTGAGTGACATCATAAATGCATGTCTAGCTTTTTAGGAGACCACCAAACGGGCTGTGCTATTTTGCGTGCCTTCCAGTGGTGTGTGGGGTTTCGGTTTCTCCACGTCCTTGTCAACAGTTGATAATGTCTGTCTTTTTTATTGCAGCCACCCTCGTGGGGATGGCATATCTCACTCCATCTGCACTCCCCTAATAACTAATGACGGTGTGCGCCTTTTCATGTGCTGTCTTCTTTGGCTAAGTGTCTGTTCAGACTTTGTGCCCATTTTAATTGAATTGTTTGTCTTATTAATGTCCTATAAGGGTTCTTTATATAGTATGGATACAAGTCCTTTATCAGATTTGTGATTTGCAAATATTTTCTCCTAGTTTGTGGTTTATTTTCTTGATTGTGCCTTTGAAGAGCAAAAGTGTTAAAATTTGATGAAGTCCACATTTACCAATTTTGTGTTTTTGGGGTCATGTGTTTGGTGTTATATCTAAAAAAAAATCTATGCCTAACCTAAGATGACCTTTTCTTCTATAATTTTTATAGTTTTAGTTCTTACATTTAGATGTGTGGTCCATTTTGACTTAATTTTTGTGTAAGATAAGGGTCTAAATCCCTTTTTTTACAGATAGATATCCAGTTGTTCCAGTACCATTTATGTGGACCTTTAATTTCTCTCAGTAGTATTTTGCAGTTTTCAGTGTACGAGTCTTACACTTATTTCAGTAAATTGATTACTAAGTATTTTATTATTGTGGATGCTGTTCTGAATGGAAATGTTTTTCTTAGTTTTATTTTTTTATTGCAAATATATAGAAATACAATTGATTTTTATATCTTGATCTTGAATCCTACAACCTTGCTAAATTAGTTTTTGGTTCTAGTAATTTTTTGGTGGATTCCTTAGGATTTTCTCCATCATCTATGAATAGAGAAAGTTTGACTTCTTCCTTTCCAATCCGTATACTTTAGGGCTGGCTGGTTCGCTCACCTGGTTAGAGCGTGGTCCTGATGATGACACCAAGGTCAAGGGTTGGATCCCCATACTGGCCAGCTGCCAAAAAAAACCCAAAAAAACAAAGAGAGAGAGAGAATTTCCCAATCTGTATGTCTTTAATTTCTCCGTATTGCCCCATTGCATTGGTTAGAAGCTCTGGTACGATGCAGCGGCGAGAGGACATCCTTGCTGTGTTCCCAGTTTTAGGCAGAGAACCTTCATTATCAGCATTAAGTGTGATGTTGGCTGTGGGCTTTCTGTAGATGCCCTCTGTCAGGTTGGGGAAGTTTCCTTTGGTTTGTTGAGAGTTTTTGTCATGGATGGGGGCAGGTTTCTGGTTCCAGAAAAGATGGTGCAGGTGCACTTTTCTCCACTTCTCCTGCTAAGGACAGCAAAAAACCTTGGACTTTATATAAAAGACTCTGAAAGATAGGAAAGGCGAATCAGCTGCAGATCTAGGGGTCTGAGGAACAACCTGGGGGTGAATTCCCTGACTTTTCTTGTTGCCTCATATGTCCTGGGCTGGGTGCTGGAGAACCCAGCAACCTAGAAACACGAATGGGTTCAGACAAAAATTTTTTTAAAAGACCCCAACAAAAACCTGGTCTCTCTTGCTAAAGGACTAGGAAAGGAACAGCCTAGCAAGAAAGAAAACGTTTAGATAATAACACCCTACTCCAGCCAAACACTACAAAAAAATGGTGGCTCCAACCCCAGCCCCTCAACAAATATCGATGGGGGGCTACACATCCCCCCTCCCCTGCTGTAGTGAGACATCACTGTGCCCCCACGGGGGTGGGGACGGTGTCAGATGAGGCCTAAGGAAGAGACAGAACTTCCAGCACGTTCACCCACAGAGGCCAAGGGAGGAGACTAAGAGGTGTCCTCCCTTCTCCCAGCCAGGTGGCATCAGCAGAGGCCTGGTGTGAAGCCTGAACGCCCACCCTGCCCAGCAATAATGCGGCGCCCCTCCCTGTCCCGGGGTGAGAGTGGAGGCTGACTAGGGAACCTGGACGTCCCCTCTTCCCCTAGCAGTGTCAGAATAGGTCTGCTAAAGTGGAGGACTTACATGAGAACCAGAGTCTTACAACACTCAACATGTCCAATACACAACAGAAAGTCTCTCATCATGCCAAGGACATGAGAAAATCTCTATGAGAAAAGACCACCAGGAGATACCAACTGAGATGACACAGACGTTGGCATAACCTGACAAGGGTTTGAAAGGATGGAGGACTTACATGAGAACCAGAGTCTTACAACACTCAACATGTCCAATACACAACAGAAACTCTCTCATCATGCCAAGGACGGGGAAAATCTCTATGAGAAAAGACCACCAGGAGATACCAACTGAGATGACACAGACGTTGGCATAACCTGACAAGGGTTTGAAAGGAGCCATCATAAAAATGCTTCAGTGGGCAATGGGAAAGATAGAAAATCTCAGCACAGTGAGGTTGTGGAGTCCTTCGAGTTCAGGCGATGTTCCAGTCTGTCTCCGTGTGACTGTCCCTCAGCCCTCTCAGACCTCCCTGCACGGGTGCCACTTTCCACACCGGCCAGGGGCGTGTGGAGAACCGAGCCTGCTATGTGTGGCTGCCAGGTTCTCCTTGGCTCATTTCTGCCTAGTCCACTGGCCTCCCCAGCCAGGGCCACAACCTCGGGCTAGCAGAGGTGCCATTTTCCCGCTCATTTCTACCAGCGTTGTGACTTTTCCTGACAATACTTCTCAGAATATATTTTCACCCCCTACTGCAAATCAAGTCAGCCTCCTGCATTGGCAAAAGCTGCTGGTTCTCACAGCCAGCCCTGCCCTAATAAACCTGCCGTGATGACCAAGGTGGGGCACAGTCCCCAGTCCCAAGCAGGACAGCCACGGACTTCCACTGTCCTTGTCCAAAATTCCAGAGACTTTTTATGGATAAATCACTCTCAATTTGTTATTTGCCATTGGTTGATTTCTAGAGCCCTGAAATAGTTGTTTCTGACAATTTTGTCAAGTTTTATACTTGTTTTGGGGGGCAGGCTTGCTGACCTCTTCACTCAGTGTAGCTGGAAGTCTTGCTCATTTTTTGGTTTTTTGTTTCTGATCTTTATTTAAACGTGCTCGTGTGTCAGACTTCTTTTGCACAACATTTTTTGACATTCGTCCATATTGTTTCTATGGAATTAGTTGATTCCTTCTCATTGCTGTCTGGTTTTCCACTATGTGGATACACCCCTATTTATTTATTCCACTGTGGGTTAGTTTCCAGTTTGGGGCAATTACAGTCAGTGCTGCCCCAACAGTCTTATGTGTGTCTNGTCTCTCATCATGCCAAGGACATGAGAAAATCTCTATGAGAAAAGACCACCAGGAGATACCAACTGAGATGACACAGACGTTGGCATAACCTGACAAGGGTTTGAAAGGAGCCATCATAAAAATGCTTCAGTGGGCAATGGGAAAGATAGAAAATCTCAGCACAGTGAGGTTGTGGAGTCCTTCGAGTTCAGGCGATGTTCCAGTCTGTCTCCGTGTGACTGTCCCTCAGCCCTCTCAGACCTCCCTGCACGGGTGCCACTTTCCACACCGGCCAGGGGCGTGTGGAGAACCGAGCCTGCTATGTGTGGCTGCCAGGTTCTCCTTGGCTCATTTCTGCCTAGTCCACTGGCCTCCCCAGCCAGGGCCACAACCTCAGGCTAGCAGAGGTGCCATTTTCCCGCTCATTTCTACCAGCGTTGTGACTTTTCCTGACAATACTTCTCAGAATATATTTTCACCCCCTACTGCAAATCAAGTCAGCCTCCTGCATTGGCAAAAGCTGCTGGTTCTCACAGCCAGCCCTGCCCTAATAAACCTGCCGTGATGACCAAGGTGGGGCACAGTCCCCAGTCCCAAGCAGGACAGCCACGGACTTCCACTGTCCTTGTCCAAAATTCCAGAGACTTTTTATGGATAAATCACTCTCAATTTGTTATTTGCCATTGGTTGATTTCTAGAGCCCTGAAATAGTTGTTTCTGACAATTTTGTCAAGTTTTATACTTGTTTTGGGGGGCAGGCTTGCTGACCTCTTCACTCAGTGTAGCTGGAAGTCTTGCTCATTTTTTGGTTTTTTGTTTCTGATCTTTATTTAAACGTGCTCGTGTGTCAGACTTCTTTTGCACAACATTTTTTGACATTCGTCCATATTGTTTCTATGGAATTAGTTGATTCTTTCTCATTGCTGTCTGGTTTTCCACTATGTGGATACACCCCTATTTATTTATTCCACTGTAGGTTAGTTTCCAGTTTGGGGCAATTACAGTCAGTGCTGCCCCAACAGTCTTATGTGTGTCTCTTGGTGAACGTGCATATGCATTTGTGATAGGGCACCGGTCCAGGAATGGAACTGGTAGGTCGTGTAGTACACACGTGTTTAGCCTTAGGAGTCACTGGCTGTGGTGGGCTGATAAATGGCTCCCAAAGTCATGGCCACATCCAATCCCCAGAGCCTGTGTTCTCATGAAACAGAGGCAGAGGAGATTAGACACACACACACATGCGTGTGCGTGAACACACACACAGGATAGGGCAAAGTGAAGATGGAGGCAGAGGACAGAGTGATGCAGACTCAAGCCAAGGTCTACTGGCAGCTGCCAGAAGCTAGAAGATGCAAGGAATGGATTCCCCCCTGGAGCCTCCCGAGGAGCCTTGATTTTAGCCCAGTCAAACTGATTTTGGATTTCTCGCTTGCACAGCCGTGAAAGCATACTTTTCTACTGTTAAGTCACCACGTTTGTGGCAATTTGTTTCCAGCAGCCGCAGGAAGCTCATAGACTGGCAAACACACTGGTTCCACCCACAGTGTAGGAGCTTCCTGGTTGTTCTAGATCCTCAGCAGTACTGGGCATGTCCATCTTTTCCATTTTAGCCATTCTGGAGGGTCTGTAGTGGAAAGCGGAATTATCACCCATCTTTCAGAGATAAAACTGAAGGTCAGGAAGTGACTTGGTGAGAGTCACTCACAACAAGTGACAGAGCACAGGTCTGCCCATTTCACTGAACATCAGGAAGAGGCAGTTCTCGCCAGTGGCACCTCTTCATTGGAAACAACCTAAATGACTCATATTAGAGTCTTGATTTAGCAAATCACAATAGATCTGAGCAATGAAATACTACATAACTAATAAAAATGAATATTTAATGGCATCGAAAGGTAGTTATGATCTATTGTGGAGTAAAAAAAGCAGGTATGTGCAATGTGATTGTATTTTCATAAGGAAACAATGTCTAGAAGGAAACATGCAGCAATTGTAACCGGGTGCTAGGATCATACGTGATTCTTATTTTCTTCTTTCTGCCTCTCTGTATTTTCTAATGTGTCTAAATGAATATGTACCACTCAAATATACAAAAATAATAAAGTGTTCCTAAAAGTAGCCCCGGGCCTCCACAGGTGCCCCGGTGTTCCAGGTGGAGCCCCAGGACATGACAGTGAGATCTGGGGACGATGTGGCCCTGCAGTGCCAGGCCACCGGAGAGCCAGCGCCCACCCTGGAGTGGCTGAGGGCGGGCCGACCTTTGCAGGCCAGTGGGAGGCTCCAGACCCAGCTGGACGGGAGCCTGTGGCTGCAGCGCGTGGAGGCTGAGGACACAGGCACCTATGAGTGCGTCGCTCACAACCTCCTGGGCTCCTCCACAGCACGGGCGTTCCTGACCGTGAGAGGTACGAGGTGTCCCTGCCCCGACCTTCATGGGCAGAGGCAGGATCCTGCGCAATGGGGATTTATGTATTGCTTGTGGGGATCCACTGCCCTGCCAGGTCCCCAACCCTTTTCTTTGCTTAGTCACAAACTCAGAGCGAACCAATTGGGTGGGCCTTATGGGTCATCTTATCTGCCCTGCCCCTTTACAGCTGGGGAAACTGAGCCTCAGAGGTGCTAAGTGTTTGCCGTTCATCTTGGGTGGGGAACCTTGGCTGTTCCAGCTTAGCTGGCACAGACATGTGTCGTCTGTTTGGACACTCCACAGCCCTGTGAAGTAGGCAGCACAGAACAAGAGCATCCGCGGTGCTGCTGGGGGCTGCTGTGACGTCTGTGAAGTGGTGTTTGTTCCAAGCTTCACGCGCTGCCTGGCCATGGCGGCTGGTCAGAAAGGACACTGCTTGCTGGGGTTCCTATCCTCTGCCATCTCAGGATTCCTCAGTCAGCTTCCTTCTCCCTTGGGTCAGACCAAACTTTAAAATCAAGGAATTATGCTGGCGATATTTGCTGTTCCTCGGCTTGCAGAAGCACTGCCCGGGTCTCTGCCCTCATGTTCACACGGTGCTCTCTCTGAGCTCATGTCTAGCTCTAAACTTCCCCTTTTCATAAGGACACCAGGCACACCGGATTAGGGTCCACCCTAACGAACTCATCTTAACTTGGTTTCCTCTGTAAAGACCCCATCTTCAAATAAGGTGACATTCTGAAGTCCTGGGGGTTAGGACTTCAACATGCAAATTTGGGAGGAGGACACAGTTCAGCCCATACAGCCTCCTTATTTTTTTAATGGAAACAAGTCTTTTTCCTTCATATATGCTAATCGTAGAACAGCCAAATAATATCAAAATCTGTGAAGAAAGAAGTAATTATCTCCCATCGTGCAATGACCAGAAATAGCTTAGCCAATTATTTGGGGTTTCTTCTTTTTACAAATGAGGTCAGATTCACAGGTCATCTTTATAACCTCCCATTTTTCCCTACTCTTATCTTGGACGACATCCCATGATAATAAACCTAGGTCCACCCACATCTTCTTTATTCGCTTCAGAGCATCCCTTGGGAATGCTTTTTAATCTTAATTTTCATTGGCTTTGTTAAATAAGCAGCGAAGTTTTTTTTTTTTTTTCCCAGTTTCCCCTCCAAAAACCACACAGTGGTGGCATCTGTGTGATGGCCTGAATCTTTCTATAGGATAAATTCCTTCCAGGGGCATTGCTAGGTAAAGGGACTTCAGAGCTGTTGAGGCCCTGACTATACACGTGTCTTCCCTCCTGCCTGCTTCACTCCTCCGTCCCTGTCAGCCTGAAAGGACAAGAGGTGCTGAGTCTCCCCAGGTCTGAGAAAGTTGACAGTGGCCCGCCATGCGTGGGCTCATTTCCTGTCCCTCCTAAAGCTGCCTGGTCGTGCTCCTGCCGTCTTATCTGCAGCTCCCAACTGCTTCCTCATCCCCTTATTAAAAGGCCAGGGCTAGGTTCATGCCCCTTCTCCTGTTCCTCCCATAACCCCCAGAGCAGCGGATATTGATGAGAAAGATCCCAGATGGGCATCAAATCTCATCAAACCCCAGCTACTGGCTGCAGGAAGTGGTATTGCTTCCTAGAACCCAAAATTAACTAGCCCTCTGATTACCCATTTAGGATCCTGGCAGTTGAGTGCTTTATGTTATTTTTTGACAGATGATGGGCAATTTGTTGTTAATTTCCTCTGAGAGCTGGTGCATGAGAGGCAGGCCAACTTCTGTCTCTTGCGCCCTGGACAGCCATCTGCCCAGATGAGACAGCTGGCCCATTAGTCAGAGGAAGCACCCCCCGGTGCCTGTGCCATCCATCTGATTAGTGCTAAACAGCTTCTGCCCGCAGACTGCCTGGCGAGAATCAACCCACCCCAGCCAGGCCAGCTGCAGAGCATCTAGAGCCAGGGCCACTGATGGAATGGGGGACGTTCAGGTGATGGCACTCCATTCCTGGCTTGGTGCCCTGCCCCCACCCCATATACCAGCCTCTGCCATCATGGGCTCCTGGTGTTTTAGAAACCAAGGGGTCTTCTGTGTGTCTGTGGTCCCACCTGCACATTTCACAGATAAGCCGACTCAGGTGTGGTTTCAGGGGCCTGCTCTGCCCAGGTTTTAAGGAAGGTGGGGGCAGAGCCAGAATTAGAAGCCAGCAGCTCCCACAGCTCAGGGCTTCTCCCAAGAGCCTCCCTCCTCTTTTGGAGCCAGAATCCCCTGGGAGTGGAGTCTGTCAGCCATTAGTCAGGTGTCCCTGGGCACGTCACTTCACCTCTCTGAGCCTCAGTTTACTCCTTGTGAAATGGGAACGAGAGAGCAGTACTTGCTGTACTGTGGGCACAGGGATGGGAAGTGAACGTCGCTATTGTTCTTTTCCTTCCTCACAGGAGAGCCCCGGGGAAGCCAGGGCAGTCTGATGGGGGTGATCAATGGCCAGGAATTTGGCGTGGCCACTCTCAACACCAGCGTGCAACAGGAGGTGCGTTCTGGGGTCACCAGCATCCGGAGCAGCATCAGCCATGTCCCAGCAAACGTGGGTAAGTGGGGACCAGAGAGTCACCTGCATCTGAGCCCATTGTCCCCAACTCCCAGGAACTCTCCGACACGTGCTAGACCCAGAAGGAGACAAAATCTGTGCCTCGGGGGCTTGATAAGCAGAGGGTATCTGAGTACCTCTAATTACCAAGCCCAAGCCAACGTGGACTTAGGTGCACGCGACTTCCTCTCCACGTGCAACGCTGCCACAAAACAAAATAACTGCATTTAAAATCAGACCAGAAAGAGTGTGGGTGATCAGAGTTATGTGGATGCAGGAGCTCAGATAATGGCTTATGAAGCTACTGATTGCTCTGTGAGGTTCTTTCCCCACTTTTAAGGCCAAGGCTGATAGAAAAGCAAAGGATATCCAGTAATGACTGAGCGATGCGGGCTAGAGGCTACAGAAAGGGTGAAACGTGGAAAGCCAAATTAGCTAGGAACCCAAGGGGTGTCCACCTGCACGCAGATTTATAACACAGTGTGTCCTGAGCAGATGGAATGCTCTGGAGACTTGCAGACCCTGTCATAATGGACCTTGCTGTTTAGCTCTTCCCAGGAGACCCATGGCCCCATGGGGGTCCACAGCAGGGAAGGGGCAGTGCTGACTAGGACTTTACTAAAAGGAGCTCCTCTGAAGCCATCCTTGGCCACAGTCCTGTGTGAACAGTGCAAAACAGAGGCTCAGAAACTGAGAGAGTTCCGCCCACACACACAGGCCTGGCTGGCTCTTGTTAACAACACAGAGCTGCCACGGTCCCTGATCCCGGGTATGCAGGGAGGGGGCAGTGTTCCCCCTGCCCAGTCCATGGCCCCCCATGACCCCAAGAGGAGGGCCGGGCATCACATGAAGGTCTGATGGCCCCTTTCAAGGCAATTTTTGGCTGTTTTTCTGCATGGGTTTGAAAAATTCTTCCTCCCCTGAGCTCTACCGAAAGGTATCTGCAAAGTTGAAAATGTGGTGGATTTTCAACTCAGGCTGGCAAATATGCAATGACAGTCTGTGGAGTCCCAGGCTCCAGATCAGGAGCCCTCAATCTGTATTTGTTGAAATTAGTTAAATACCAACAAGTTACATGCATTTATTTAAGTAAATTTATTTTCTTAATTTTCACAACTACTCCATGAAATAGATATTTGCCTTCACCATTTCCCAGGCTCTGGTTAAATAACGGGTGCAGGTAGTCACAAGGCTGAGCCTAGAGGGAAGGAGCTGAGCTCTCCTGGGGGCAGTGGGCCTTGAGCCACAGAGGGGCCTTGAGCAGGAGAGTGGCTGCCCCAAGGATCCAGCCCTAACCTGTCCTTGTCCCGCCTCGCCCAGGGCCTCTGATGCGGGTGCTTGTGGTCACCATTGCCCCCATCTACTGGGCCCTGGCTGGAGAGAATGGGGAGGCCCTGAACGGCCATTCCCTGACGGGTGGCAGATTCCGGCAAGAGTCGCACGTGGAGTTTGCTACAGGTGAGCAGGGTGTTCCCCAAGGTGAGCTGGGAAGGGCTGAGGCCTGAGCCCTGTGGTGACTCTGGGCTGGGTGGGGATTGCAGGGGAGCTGCTCAGAATGACCCAGGTGGCTCGGGGCCTGGATCCTGATGGACTCCTGCTCCTCGACATGGTGATCAATGGCATTGTCCCTGAGAGCCTGGCTGACGCAGATCTTCAAGTGCAGGTGGGGGTCAAGCCTTGGGGTGTGCAGACAGGGTGGGAGAGAAAATGGGGTATCCTGCCCCCAACTGTCCCTCAGCAGCTGGGTGCACTTTCCTTCCTGACACCCCAGCAGGGACTAGGTCATGACCTGGTTTTGAACTTGGGGTAGAACTAGTGGGTTGTCACAGGGCTTGACTGAGAGTGCAGTGGGAGGAAGCTTTGAGCCCAGACTCTCTGGGACAGAGTATCCTCCCTATTCCATAAACAGGAACACAGAAGGGAAGTGAGCTGCCCAAGGCTGCCCAGCGGGTTGGCGAAGGAGCTGAGAGGCTCACCCAGGTCTTCTCCGGCAGCATCGCCCAGCCCCCTGAGTAGGGGACTGAGGGTCCCAGGCTGCTTTGCAGCTGAAATCCCAGGCATTCTCTTCCTCCTCCTCCAGGACTTCCAGGAGCAGTATGTGCAGACAGGCCCTGGCCAGCTGTTCGTGGGCTCCACGCAGCGCTTCCTGCAAGGCAACCAGCCCACATTCCTGCGCTGCAACCACAGCATCCAGTACGACGCGGCCCGGGGCCCCCAGCCCCAGCTGGTACAGCACCTGCGGGCCTCGGGCATCAGCACAGCCTTCAACCCCAAGGCCGAGGCCCTGCGCTTCCAGCTCACCACAGCCCTGCAAGCTGGTGAGGCCCTTCGTCCTTGGTCTCCACCACCCACTGCCCCAGCCAAAAACTGCCAGGGGCCCAAATGCTTCTGGCTGAGTGCCACCCCCACCCCACATCCACTGACCACGGGCCAGGGACCGAGGGACTGAGACAGCTCACCTCCTGGTCTGCCCACCTCCAACCTGCCCCTGCTCCCATCCATCCACTCATACCCCCAACAGGGACACAGCGCTCAAGTCACTCCTGTTCAAACCTACAGAGCCTTTCCCCCCGGCCCCAAGGTGAAGGGCCCACCCCCCTTTCCAGGCTGATGTTCAAGAGCTGAGCCACATCCCACCCTCTGCTCCCAAGGGTGCTTGCACCAGAGGCTCCACCCAGGAGCCTGTTGAAACCCCTGGAGACCCACATGAATATGCCTTATGTTCTCAACCAATAGATGCTAAAGAGACATATGTTATCATTATTTGAGGTCCCAAAATGTCTTTAACATTGAACAAGAGACAGTGGTAAGAGCACAGCTTTGAGATCAGGCAAACCCAGGTTCAAATCCCAATGGCACCACTTTCCAGCTGTAGGACTTTGGGGACAATGCCCTGGCCCTCTTGGCACCTTGATGTTCCCACATGCACAATGGGCTGCAGGGTCAGCAGTAGAGCTTCTGTCTCTGAAACCCTAGCCTGGTCACTACCCTGGCCTGGCACCTAGTGACCACTTTGTCCTTATGATCATTTAGACCATCTGGTCTCCTTCCCGTCTCCAAACCCAGTTAGCCCCACCTGCCTTTGTTCCTGCTGCCTGTCAGCTGCTGTCATGCACCCCTCTGCATGCCCTCTGTGCATAGCTGCTGGGTTCTCACGAGTTTTGCACGCGGGGACCTCCTGCTTTCTACTTTTCATTAACGGTTTCTCCTGTGTGCACCTAACGTATTGCCCAGTCTCACCGGGAGCACCTCAGGGCACATTGACATGACTGGGTATGTCCCACGATCATCACCTCTGACAAGCCTGAGCAGCCAACAAGCTCGCTGACTTGCTGGCACCAGCCTGGCTCAGGACAGGGGCTGACATTCCGCTGGGGGTCACTGCTTGGCCAAGTCGACCTGAGGGAACTATGAGCCCAGGCTATAGCCAGGCAGCCTTGGGCACGGGAGACCTCGTGTCCTTAGGTCCTGTCGTCTTTGCCTTGCAGAAGAGAATGAAGTCGGCTGCCCCGAGGGTTTCGAGCTGGACACCCAGGGAGCATTCTGTGTGGGTGAGCGCCCTCCCCCAACCCTGGCCTGCGACTTGGGAGGCCTCTCAGCCCGGGACGATGATCTATGCCAGCCGCTGGCCAGAGGGGCCTGTGAGCACAGACCAGCAGGTCTCTTCCTGCCCCAGACAGGGACGAGTGCTCGGGTGGCCCCAGCCCCTGCTCCCACTCTTGCCACAACATGCCCGGCCGCTTTGCCTGCTCCTGCCCGGCTGGCTTTACCCTGGCCTGGGACGACAGGAACTGCAGAGGTGAGTGGCCCCTAGATGGAGAGGCACTCCCGGACCTGGCCCAGGCATACAGCAGGGTCCCTGGGGCCAGGACCCTGGCCAGGTGCACACACCTCCAGGGATGGCCCATTCCTGAGGGCACTGGATGCCAGCCTGGGGGTTCCAGTGCCGTGTCCCCACCAGGTCCCTTCCTGCTAGGAGGGCTGCAGAAGGTGGCTCAGGTATCAGGGGGTAATGGGGGTCCCCGCAGATGGGGTGGTCACCATGGTGTGATCACCATGTGTTCATGGCCTTCATCCCCGCTGAGCCTGGACCTAGCCTTGGGAGCTTTCCCAACACGCAGCATCTTTTCCAGTCACGTGGGTTTGGCCAGAGAGCTGACGCCCATTTGCCACTTGCTCTACTTGTCCCCCCAGCAAAGTTGCTGGATGACAAGCCTGACCCTGGGAGACTGTCCTGATGCTGACCCCTATCTGCACCCCTTTGCTCCCACCAGCAGGGCCCAGCACTGCCAAGCCTCCACTGGGCTCTGAGCTGTGTGCCCAAGGGGGCATTGTCTGCAGCCTTGTATCGGAAGCGTCAGGCCGAGGCCCTCGGGTCCCTTGGGGTGGGCTCTGCTTTTGGGGGGGTGGGGTCAGGATGATGGAAAGAGCTAGCAGGTGGGGTGGGGACCTTCAAACCAGAGGGTCCTGAGCCTGGTGATGAAGCCTGTGTGGGTAGGCTGGGCCAGGCAGGGTGGCAAGGATGTCCTGGGAGGACATGTGTTCATGTAGCCGTCTGGCCCGGTCTGCCCCCAGATGTGGATGAGTGTGCGTGGGACGCCCACCCTTGCCGAGAGGGACAGCGCTGCGTGAACCTGCTCGGGTCCTACCACTGCCTGCCTGACTGTGGGCCCGGCTTCCGGGCGGCTGCTGATGGGGCCGGCTGTGAAGGTGATGGAGGCACGGTGTGGGGCCTGTCTGTACTCTAAGAGCTCAGGGGTTGCCAGGATCCAGCTGATGGGGGGCTGTGTGTCCCCAGGACGCTGGGCTTTCAGAGAGACCAGAACTATCTCAGCAGAAAGAGCACAGTGAGGCCAGGGACAAAGCCTGAGCTGGGGCTCCGGAGCAGTGAGTCCAGCCTGGCTCCTGGCACCTTGAGTATCCTCTGACAAGTGTCCTTTCCTTTCTGAGCCTCAGGTTTCTCATCTGTTCAATGAAGGGGACCCGGGTCAGGGATGGCCAGCATAAGCTACCTCTGCTGCCACTTCCTCAGTCCCCCTCGTGGACCACGGCCCAGCCTAGACAGCCTCTGAATCCTTCTCAACACAGCTCCCCCAGCAGCCGCTAGGGGTCAATGGCGATTTGCCTTTGCATGAAAACCTAGGTGCCGTCCCTGCTGGGGTGACCTCCAGGGTCCCTCTCACTCTAGCAGGCTATGGTTTCATGACCATGGGCCCACCTGGCTGCTCCAGGAGAGGCCATCCCATGGCGGGGAAGGCGTGTTGGAGCTTGAACTCAGAGCATGCAGCCATCCCACCTGGGTGGGCCTCAGGCCTCACAGCGCCCTCTTTACTGACAGGGCTCTTGCACCTGCTGCTGCAGCCTCCTGCCACCCTCCCTTCCTTCCTTCTCACCACTTGTTCTAGCTCTTTCTGCATACCAGGCTCCTAAACCCTTCTCTTGCATGATCCGATTTTTTCCACACCTCAACCCCATGAGGAGGTCCTGTTCTTACCCCTCTTTACAGATGAGGAAACCGAGGCTCAAAGAGGGAGAGTTACTTGCCCAAGGACTAGAATATGGCAGAGCCCCATTGGAGCCCAGGCCTCTCTGCCTCCAAAGCCCACCGTTTAAGCCCTTTCCTTTCTTTTGGCCCCGGAACCTTGACCTCCAACCTGGTATCATTGGCAGAGGTGGTGCGAAGTTGGAGAAGGGGACGGGGGTGAAGCCCAGTTGTGGAGGGGGATGGTGTGTCCCCTGGGGGAAGGACTCTGGGTAGGCCCTGCCCCTGACCATGACCCCATCTGCCCAGATGTGGACGAATGCCAGGAGCACTTGGACGAGTGTCACTACAACCAGCTCTGTGAGAACATCCCAGGCGGGCACCGCTGTGGCTGCCCCAGGGGGTACCAGACACAGGGCCCCGGCCTGCCCTGCCTAGGTATGGGGACACCCACCCCCGCCCTGGGGCCCTGGCTCACAGGTGGTGGGTGTTTATGGCAGTGGTGCTGGTGAGTTCAGGAGGGGCGGCTTGGAGGCAGCTGGATTCTGGGGAGGTGTGCGCAAGCGGCAAGACTGGAGCCAGATGGAGTGGCCACGGGCTGTGGCGAGCCCCGAGCCACCTGTATACCCTGCGGCTCCGCCCCTGCAGATATCAACGAGTGCCTGCAGCTGCCCGCGGCCTGCGCCCACCAGTGCCGCAACCTCCAGGGCGGCTACCGCTGCCTGTGCCCGCCAGGCCAGACCCTTCTCCACGACGGCAAGACCTGCATCCCTCTGCAACGGAGTGGACAAAATGAGACTACTGTCAGCCACCGAGGCCCCTTTGCGTCCTGGCTGCGACCCCGGGCCCCCATCCCTGGAGGCTCCTACCAAGCCTGGGTCTCCCTCCGGCCACGTCCTGGCACCCTGAGCAGCATGGGCCGGGCCTGGTGCCCCCCTGGCTTCATCAGGCAGAACGGCATCTGCACGGGTAAGGCCAGGCCCCAACCATCCCATGGGGATACACCTGCTATGTCACCTCGGGCTTCTAGGCTGGGCATGGGGGCACCACCCACCAAGTTCAGAAACCCAGGACTCTCAGGCAAGTGGTTGGGTGGTGCGGGCCGATGGGCACTTCCTCGATATAAGGCATCTCAGAGCCCTGGCTGTGCTAATGGGCAAGGGGCTTCCAAGAGGGGGATGGAGTATTTTTTCAAACCATTTGACTTCAGAACATTTTGTCAGAGGTAGGGCCTCCTGGAGAAATGTCCCCAGGAACCCGCTTTGAGAAGCACTCCTCTTGGCGCTCAGAGGTAAAGCAGTCAGGGAGGGAGATTTTCAGGAGTGAAGGAGGAATGTTCCAGGTAGACAAGAGAATGTAAGAGGGACTGGCGAATCCAGGGCATGGGGGTTGGGGACAGCCTTTGGACTGGAGGCTGGCACTGTACTTCAGAACCAGGTGGAGGGGAGGTGGCCTGTGTGAGGGCTGACGCTCCAGCATTCCTGCCTGGGCAGAGGAGTCTGTAGTGGGAAGGTGCCACGCAGGGATGGGTGGAGTGGGGCAGGGAGGAGTGGGCTGCCTCAGACAGGGGACTTTCCTGGCCTGTTCCAGAGCCCAGCAGGCAGGTGTGTGGCCACCTGGTCATATATGACTTAGTATGTCTCTCTGCCCCCATCCCCTACCCCCATGAACTCCCCCATGCTCGGGCCAGACCTCGACGAGTGCCAGGTAAGGAACCTGTGCCAGCACGCCTGCCGCAACACTGAGGGCAGCTACCAGTGCCTATGTCCCTCCGGCTACCGCCTCCTCCCCAGCGGGAAGAACTGCCAGGGTGAGCCAGGCCGAGTTGGCTGCCTCCCATGCCCGAGGGGCCAGGGCAGGGCAGCGTGGGAGGGGGCGTGTGGGGATCTCACCCACTCCGTTCTCTCCAGCCCTTTCACAACTGTCCTGTGAGGTAGGAGCAGGGAGAGGAGCTCAGAGGGGTCGCATGACCAGCCCCTGCCCCAAGATCCAGAACAGGTTGGGGCCCAAGATCCAAACAGAAGTTGAGAGATTACATGGCCAGTCTCAGCTCCGCTGTGTGTCCCTGGGCCATTCACTCACCTCTCTGAGCCTCAGCCTCCTGGTGAAATGCGGCTAACCCAGTGCACCTCTCAAATGGCTGGGATGAGACCTGTAGAGGGTGGGCACAGAGCTGGCACAGCTGCTGCTGCTAGTAGTAGCCATGTCCTTTAGCTCCCAAGTGGGCTATACTTTCCCTGACACAGGTGGGAGCCAGGCGTCATGCCGTGTCCCCCGCCCTGTAAAATGGGAATTGTGCCCGCCTGGCCTGCCTCCATCCCCCTATCAGGGGCTCAGTGGGGCTTCCACCGAGGGAGACGAGGATGGGCACTCTGTCCATGGGCAATGGGCACTCTGGGTTGGAGAGTGAAGTTGGCCCTGGAAAGTCCCAGCCCCTGGGGGGATGGGGAGGTGTTAGGGACTTCCTGGCTGGACTGTCGTGGGTCAGTCTGGCTGGGGACAAGGGGAGTGGGGCTGTCCACCTCGCTGGTCCACCAAAGGACTGTTTCTCTCCCTCTTATTCTCCCCGCTTCACGCGTCCTCTGGCTCCTGCCTTGGGACCCACTCCTTCACTCCATCTTTGCATGTCCCCCTCCCTTCCCTACCCTCAACCTCCTCCACGCCCACCCCCATCAACCCGCTCTACCCAGACATCAACGAGTGCGAGGAGGATGGCATTGAGTGTGGGCCCAGCCAGATGTGCTTCAACACCCGCGGCAGCTACCAGTGTGTGGACACGCCCTGTCCCGCCACCTACCGGCAGGGCTCCAGCCCCGGGTAAGGGCTGGGCTGGCTCGGGAGTGGGGCCGGGGGCACACTATCTGCCAGGAGCTGGGCAGCCTCCACTCTGGCTCCCGTATGGCTGGAACCCACTCCACCCGCTTCCCAGGAAGGCCTCCCAGGGCCAGCGGAAGCAGCCCTGTCAGAACTCGTGGGCTGGGCTGTGTGCCCTCGAGAGCACATTGTGCAGCCACTTGGGGGAACGAGCGTGCCTTGAGGCTGTCGTTCCCTGCATGGGTGCCCGTGGGCGTGCATGGAGCACCGGGGACAGGGAGAGGCCAGAGCTGAGAGAGAATGGGGGAACACACCAACACACATAAAACCCAGACACAGGAATGCTACCCGGAGACACATACAAAACCCCAGGACTCAGACACACAAACACAAAGCATCTTTCCTCGGCGCTGCTCCCAGTGGCTACAGACACTCATAAAGAGACACAGGGACATGAGAACTTGGGGTCAGGAGCTGGTGCAGTTGGGAAAGTTTCCTGGGGCCGGTGACTTGCCCCGGACCTTACAAATCGGGAATTCTCGGCTGGGGACGCAAGTGGGTGCCTTGGGCAAGACTAAGCACGTTTTTTTGAGCCCCAACCTCCACCCCTGCGCTGCAAATCCAGAGCGGCTGACTCAGTCCCGGGCACCTACAAGTGGACCTGAAGGGTCTAAGTTTTATCGCTGGGCTGCCCTGGGGCAGGGACTGGGAAAGCCCGCTGGGCGGACCTGCTCCGATGGGAACGGACATGTCTCTGGCTCCTTCGAGCCTCAGTTTGTGGATCACTAAAATGGGCTAACAGTGGCGCTGTAGAGGCTGCGTCTGGGGCGCGGACGCAGCGCGTGGGCACCACTGCAGGGGCTGGGGGGGCGGGCGCGGCGCGTGGGCACCACTGCGGGGGCGGGGGGGGAGGTCGGGTTGATGCGGCCGGGCCACGCCCCGAGGGCAACCGGGGTCAGCCGGTCCGTCGGTC